CAGGGACCACCTGGCCATTCCAGGCTACGGCCACCACCTGTCAGCCACCACAGCTCTGCTTCCTGGCCAATAATACCTAAAGGCACCAGCTTCTGTAATACCTTCCTCTGACCCTGCTTAATGAAGGGAGAAATAGCATGCAGGATATTTCAGTATTATGTGGCTATTTCCATAACAATCCTGAGAAAATGCCAATCTTTACAACAGCCAAAACTGTACTAATGGATAGAGCATACATTTACCAGAAGTCCCTCCCCAAATGAGGAAATGTCTTAAAAAGCAAGTCATGTTTCCTCCTTTGGTGCCCTCCTTTCTTTCAATGTATCTTTTCAAACCATAAAATCCCTCATTTTTTTTTTGCATTTTGGCCAGGGCTGCGTTTGAACCCACCACCTCCAGCATATGGAGCTGAACACAGAATTCATTAAAACCCTATTGTTAATAAAAATAATTTATGTCATTGTCAATTTCAAGAGATTTAAAGCCAAACACGCTCTAATTTAACAACTAAAAAAGATACACTGAAGTAGATTAACACAGCTTGATAAACTTCTGAAAAAAACAGTTGTACCTAAATTTCCAGCAACAGGAAGAAGTAACTAAAGGGCAGCGTAGCCTGTTCACACATAATACAGTCAGCTTCAAAACTTTTTTTTTTTTAAGGGAATGTTAACAATATTTCACACACTCTAAAAAGTTCACACTGTGGCAACCAAAGTTAAATTGTCAAACCTTTATCTTCAATGTACAATGTATGCTTAAATTTCTTTTTAGGCTCGGCGCCTATGGCTCAAGTGGCTAAGGCGCCAGCCACATACACCTAAGGTGGTAAGTTTGAATCCAGCCTGGCCTGCCAAACAACAATGATGGCTGCCAACCAAAAAATAGCCGGGCGTTGTAGCGGGTGCCTGTGGTCCCAGCTACTTGGGAGGCTGAGGCAGGAGACTTGCTTGAGCCCAGGAGTTAGAGGTTGTTGTGAGCTGTGATGCCATGGTACTCTACCCAGGGGGATAGCTTGAGGCTCTGTCTCAATAAATAAATAAATAAATAAAATAAATAAATAAAATTCCTTTTTAATTTATTTAGAAAGAAAATACTAGAACAGCAGTTCTCAACCCGCGGGTCGCAACCCCTTTGGGGGTTGAACGACCCTTTCACAGGGGTCACCTAAGACTATCCTGCATATCAGATATTTACATTATGATTCATAATAGTAGCAAAATTAGTTATGAAGTAGCAACGAAAATAATTTTATGGTTGGGGGTCACCACAACATGAGGAACTATATAAAGGGTCGCAGCACTAGGAAGGTTGAGAATTACTACTCTAGAAGGAAATATGGTGAAATTTTTGTTTTTGTATTTCCCAAATTTTCTACAATACGTATATATTACTTTTATAATGCAAAAAAATAAATACAGCTTTTCTGGGGCAAATGGTTTTGATTTAGTTATTAGATAGCTTTCAAATTTTGTTTAAAACTTAAATTAATGAAAAGAATTAGCCCAGGTATCTAGTGGAGCCACCGAGTTTGAAGTTTTATGTTCAGGGGATGAGACGCTCACCTCCAGATGAATGTACCTTTTTGAGGCAGGAAGCACAGAAGAGCAGGCCCCCAGTCATCTCCACTTGGGTGGTTTCTGTCCAAAAGGGATACCCTCCAAGCCAGCCAGACTTCAAGGATAACCCCACTGTATCTCACCCTCCCCTCTTGATTCCTCAAAGGTTTCAACTGAACAGATAACTGTGTTGTTTCCAACACAGTCAAGAACTTGAAACTGACAAGATGTAGAATGCGTAAAAGTGAACATAACTTGGATTATGTGATGGTTTCCTCTTGTCACTATTATGTATCACCCCAACCTTACACAAATAAAATTTCTTAAAGAGTTATCATTCAGCATTTGATGTAAAACAACTATCTCAGAGGTGCCTCTGAAGACACTGGGAAAACTGCCTCTAGTTTCCAGTCAGGCTAACCACTCCAGGGCATGTGCTTCTTTAGAAGTTCTCAAGGCCGCAGTAGCTGACGCCTGTAATCCTACCACTCTGGGAGGCCAAGATGGGTGGATTGCCTAAGTTCACGGGTTCAAGGCTAGCCTGAGCAAAATTGAGACGTTTCTAAAAATTAGCTGGGTGTTGTGACAGGTGCCTGTAGGCAAAAGAGGCTGAGATAAGAGAATCACTTGAGCCGATGAGTTTGAGGTTGCTGTGAGCTATGACACCATAGCACTCTACCAAGGGAGACAAAGTGAGACTCTGTCTCAAAAAAAAAAAAAAAACGTTCTCAGGAGCCCCCTTGACATATCAACACATACCACTGGCAGCTTCAGAGGGACTGTGTTCACTGAGAATTCCTCTCCGAGCATGTGTGTCACAGGCACTTATGACCTGTGTGTGTTTGTCTGCTACCAACCTGGACCGATGACCTTCAGTACAAACTCTGGCACATTAATCTGCCTCCTGACCGACTACTGCCTGTCAGAGACTAGGGCTTAGAGAGGCTTTAGGACACTAACAGCTCTGAGCTGCTTTAAAGGAAATTCTTTTCTATTTTGTCGCAGGGGAGCCTTATGCATTACATCATCCAAACCAGACTGTCCATAAAACACTGTTTATGGGTTCTAACTTAAACAGAGTTTGGTTATAACAGACAATAAATGCAAAGGAATAACAGGCATCTGTTTTAAACAGTTAACTTGCTCAATAAATGCAACTGACCTTAAAAACTAAACACTTTCCTAAGGTTGTGGAGCATAAACACCTAGAAATTACTAGTATTCCTATAGGTTTGTTCTTTTCAGCGAAGTAAACTAGAATGCAGAGAGGAGGAAAAACACCCAGTTATAATGACAAGACAACCCAATGTTTTCTCAAGGCCCTCCCCAAACATACAATTATTTTCCACAAAGCAGCTACATCCAAAGTAAAGAAGTAGGGAGACCTACACACTAAGCATGACACGGCAGCCGGTGAGTGCCCTCTGACTTATCCTGAACCTCACTACTCACAAGTAGAGGTAGCTATGAAAACTCTACCCAGATCGTAGCGTCCCCGCCTTCATCTGTCACCTATATCTACTTAAGCATGAAAAATTTAAAAGCTCAGATTTCTTTTTAGTCAGGCTGCCTGGAATAATAATAGAAAATACTGCCAAAATAGGAACAACAGAGACAGGAAGGAAAGATGTCAAAATGCTTATAACTGCTTGGGGAAGGTAACTGCTTTTATAAGAAGTCATTCTATATTTACAGTAAATTTAGGAGACAGAAGCAAGTTTTTAAAATGTCTTATTACTTTAAAGGGGAAGGAGGGTACAGAGTGTGTAGCTGTTAATGATATTCTTTTTCTAGGTACAGAATTTTAGCCCGTTTTAAGATTTTACTCGAATGCAGTCTTTTCATAAATAAGGAGTATGAGAAAGACTGTCTCCCAAGACCTGGTCCTGTTTGTTTTCCCCTGTGTGGCTCCACACTCATGGTGAACAACTGTCCTTAAAAGCCACACCTCCTCAAGCCTGCCCAGCACAGACCTTCAATTCAAACTTTTAAGTTTCAGCCAATCTAATCTGCCATGTCCACCTGGTCTAAAAAAAAAAAAAACTCAGAATTAACCAGAAGTTTTTGGTTGATTTTTTTTTTTTTTTTTTGCTTGCGTTAAGCCAATAATTGTTTTCTTTGGGATAATCCAGGTTAAATTGTGAAATATGTGTCGGGAACTGCGAGATTTCACCAGTTTCTTTCCAAGTTCAATCAATAAAAGGAAGAGTGGCGCTAGTGGGGGTACCTTAGATCCACCTGCACCCCGGGACGCTTAAAAGTCCTAACCAGGGCACTAGAGCACACTTCGATGTCATTCTTTTAAGCTCCATAACCTTGAAATTGGGCAGAGTGGGGAGGGGTCTGCAAGCCTTGGGATGCATCCAGGGGGTAGGGAGTCTGTCTCTAAGATTCCAGCCCACGTGTTTGCCCAAGTCGCCGCCGCCACTCTCCGCCCGCGCCGCAAGGTGACAGACATCATCTCCGCTTCCCAATTTCAAAAAACGCCAGTGCCGCTCAATCAATGACTCCTTCCTCCCCCGCCGGGTGCGGGGGCTGCGGCGCTCCTCCCGCGACACCGTGAGAAGGTCCCCGCACTGCAGCCGGCTTCAGGGCCGCCTTGGACCCTCCTGCCCGCGCCCCGCAGCATTGCGAGACCGCGCGACCCAGCTGCCCGGGACTGGCCGCCTGCACCCGAATCTCAGTTTGCCCAGGCCGGTCCCCGCCGCCACACAAAAAAGGAGCCGATCCCGCGGCATGCGACATCGGGACCCCACCGCGCACCAGCTAGGCGCCCGCATCCCAGCTCCGCCACAGGAAGCCGCTCCGCGGCCTGGAGGCCTCCAGCTGCGAGGGGAAGCCGGGCCGCACATCCGAGGCCGGAAAAGCGGCAGGTCTCCGGGAGCCAGGGGCGGTTCTGGTCCTTTCGCCGCCGCGGCAGCCACCTTCGGGGCTCGGCCCTGAGGGTTCACCTGAGCCCCGCGCCTCAGCGGAGCCCAGGACGCCGCAGCGGGGACAGGCACGGATTCGCACGTCAGGTGACTCACCTCTTCAGCAGGCCCGGCCGCTCCGCCGCCGGCTGTCACTGTAGCCCACTCGGTGCCCGGTGCCGGCTCCGGGTGCTATTTAAGGAGCCG